GCATTTGACTCTTGGTCTTCTTCTCCCGGTTTGGGCTGACTCTTGATTTTCCAAGAGTCAAATGTCTCACATAAGGGCACAGGTCACCTCTTTCGACTTCGGACCCTATACCCTTCGACCCTCGGACTTTTCTCAGACCTTTATGGAGCTGGAGCTGACTTTTGACCCCTCAATCTTGACTTGGACTAAAAGTTACGACACTGACTCATGTCTGTGCGGATTTGAACTGAGTTCATTGCATGTGCCTCTCACATACAAGGCTCTCCACGTTGACGAAGTTGAGCATGAGCTGCCCGCACCTCCGTGTGGCATGATGGCCCACTTGCATGCTGTGAAAAGATGGAAAGAACACAAAGCAAAGAAGAGAAATGGAAATTAAGGAGTGTGGAATGAAGACGAAATCATAGGAGAGGGTAAGAGAGGGCTCAGGAAGCAGTCTGTTGTTGAAGACAGAGAGGACACATTGTAAGGATGAGATGGGTGAGGACATGGAAGACCTAGCATTTTCAGTAAAAACAATTGCCACGACGGCCAGCATTAAGCATGACCACCAAACACTCCCGAAAAATGGCACATTGATCGCAGGCCAACATGCAGGGAAAACGGGCACCACAAAAGACCATGCACATTTGGAATAACACCCATGGGCACAAAATGGACATATAGCGTCCCAACGCGGACTGTGCCTGCAGTCAGGAAAGGAGGGAGAGTCCTCTGCACACATGGCTGCAGAAACAATGTCATTGTAGTAATTGTGACAGAGACACTGTAGGCTGCACCCGACTGTAACAGAGTTTCTAGCTCTGCAAAGAAGAATGTCAGAGGATGTTTATACATTTTCCTGCTGTGTGCATTGAGCCCGTCGATCAAGAGAAGCTTCCCCAACACAATCATGCAATAAGTCACAATGCACTCCAAATGGAACCAGTGCAGTCCCAGAAGAACCAGCAAGTCACCAGGTATGGCACAAAGGTAGAAAAGAGATGGAGAGAGAGGAAGAAGGCAGGATGGTCTCATTAGTAATCAACAAGAAAATTGAAACAGCTCTTCGTGCCCCCTTCACTTTTGGGATCTTCCCCCCAGCTCGCCACACTCAGCATGCAATCTCTGTCCCTGAAGACAAAAATGAAGTTTCTCTGCAGGTTCAAGTCACGCGCACCCAACCTCCAGCAACAGCGCCTGACTATGGAGGTGGTTACCTGCCTCTCTTCAACCTCCTGATGTGAGCCGCAGCTCCAGTATCACCATTGCCAAGAGGAGTCAAGGTAAGCTTTTCAATTCTGATCACCCTCTTCCGAGCCCTACCTCTACCTACAGCTATGGCAAACAGGTGCCCTTCCTAGCTATGGATACTCTATTCTTCCTGGGCCAGCGCTGCCTGGCGCTACACTTCCTCCCTCTCTACCTTGCGCGGCAGTGCTCTGGTCGCCAATGCATCCAAGGCAGAATGAATGAACCGCTGGGGTGAGCCATTCTTTCGAAGAGTTGACCGGCCTTGGCCGGCCTCAACCTGCCTTCTTGAAGAGTGAAGTTTTCTCGATCTGTGCGGAAGAGTTGACCGGCCTTGGCCTGCCTCGACCTGCCTTCTTGAAGAGTGGCGTTTTCTTGATCTGTGCGGAGCAGATTCACTGTCGGTCAATGTGTGCATGGACCCAGTAGCAGCAGATGTGGTTGACTCCTGAGATATCTCTGAATACTAACCACTCCTCCTGAATTTAGGCCTGACTCCTGAATTTCTTGAAGTCAACTATCGCGCATCGGGTGCAGGCAGCCTCATTTGACCCTAGATCCGGTACCTGTTAATCCTAGGATTTTTCTCAGACCCCTCTAAGACAAGATATACGACTTTCAAGTATCAACCCCTGAATCTCGACTTGGACCAAAAGTCACGAACTTGGCCTATATTTGTGCAGACTTGGAATTGAGTTCATAGCACTCCTGTCGTTCCGATTTCAAGATCCAGAATAGAACCTTTTTTTTTTTCTTTTTTCTTTTTTTATGCGACTGTCTTCTCCTCATATATGGGGGACAAGCTGTATTTTGCTAGCATATTTTCTTCTCTCAATCTTGTGGCTATCTCACCCTAGCTACCCACCTAATGGGCTACAACTACCCCTGAAGAAGCAAGAGGTGAACTACACTACCCCTTTAAGTCTACCAGCTAAGCACCTACAAATATCTGAGAGGCACAAACCTAGGGTTATGGGTCTACCTTAACCTATCTCTGCTCTGTGCGGGGAGTAGTACCCAAGCATAGAACTTCATTCTTCATCAAGTACTGTTTTTTTCCTTTTTCGCATCCTTCCTAGGCCGCATCTATATCTGCAGCAGTAGGTCAAAGTTCTTACCATCTGCCTTCGGATTCAGGTTGTGAACTGAACTTTACCGTGTACTGCTTTTGAAATCTTCCTCCCCCTATGGGGAAATACCCATGTCCCAATATTGAATATTCTCTCAACTTGATTCCCTCTAACCATTGCCTGTGGAAACACAGACAGGCAACTGGGAAAGTCATCACCTTCAGTGACTGGTAGTAGTTTAGATGCGTGAAAAATGAGATGTGGGGGTATGTCAAAGCGCTAGGATGGTCATCCCTGATCTCCCATCATCTTGAGAACTTCCCACTGCCCATAATAGGAAAGCAGAGTGTCAATAGGTCTTTTAGATTGCCAACCCTTGCACAGCGTGTTAGTCCTCCTCCTGGTTACAGTATGGACACAGTTGTACATGCTTGCTATGCTTGCTTAAGTTCTCACCCCTGCATTGGACCACACTGCTCGCACCTTGAGCACACACACACATTGTTACATGCTGAAGGCCTACACACGGGCCCCCCACGGGACCCGAGGTTGGAATAGGGCCCCCAGGTTGCGTCACCGCAACCTGAAGGCCCTATGGCATTTTTACTT